TTTTTTTTTTTTTTTTTAAATTCAAGTCAAGTATTTACTGGCATAAGAAAAATAAAAAAAAATCAATTATTTACCCATTTTGAATCATCAACCAATTGCTACGTCTAAAGGAAGAATTGAAGTGACGAAATACTTAACATTCTTTGTTTAAGAAATATATACATAGAACTTAATTTTCTAATTGACAACTTCATGAAAATGTTCATATACATAATATTATCACAGATTCTTTAGCCAACTATCTTGAAATAATTATACACAATCCACCAGACATTTTGAGGAATATGAATTCAAATGAAACACACATCTGCCTAATTTCTAATCTATAAGATTTCACAAACAGACAATTCTGATGCTATAACCAAACCGAACTAAGATCTTCAAATGAAAACAAGGCTGTTTTCCTCATTCATTAATGTCGACTCTTCGAAACCCGTATCGAATAAGAATCCATAATCATCCTCAAATTTAGTATGCATCATTTTGAGGCTTGAGGGAGTTTCGATATTCATCTCTTGTGACAGCTGAAGGTAATTACTCCGGTCGACGTCCGGGACCGATAAGTCGAGGAGACTGCTAGGGTTTTGTCCTTGATCAAAGGAAGTAATCATGTCTTGGCCATAATTAAGCAATGCATATTCATTTGTAGGAGGAGATGCAGCCATGTTAGAAGTGGTTGAATCATAGAAATTTTCTGGGCTTAAGTGGTTGCTATTCTCACCCTTGCCTTTGTGAAATACTCGACATAACACCCAGTCTTCCTGTAAATAGTCGTAGAAGGAAAACAAAACAAAAAATATTATACTTTATCCATATTAAACCCTACTTTAATTAATGCTTTTTCCATTTAGATTCTTATAATTCTTGTGTGTTTAAGAATGTTTTAGACTTTTTTTAATTATTATATATCGTCAAAATGACAAAGGTCTTATGTTAAAAACGTTTGGTCACCCATTTATGAAAAAAAGAAAAAAGGAAATTTGCATGATAGATATTTGTTGGAAAAAAGAATTTAAAATGCACGTAAGGGGACGAAAACGTTACTATTATACGAAACTTTTAGATAAAGTAATCCAACGAAAATATATCATCGAATCAAATGAAAACAGCCTTTTCTAAAGCGAAAACAAGAATGAGATACGAATAAGAAGCAATGGATGCGTACAAGAATTTAAAAATGACCTAAAGAAAAAGAAAGAATATTTTTAGATAGAATCTATCTTGTTTTCAATGAAGTGTATAAAAGAAGCTCCATTACTGTCGCATGAATGACTCAAATTTCTTTTCCTTTGCGTCAACACATTCACATGACCTATGTTTCTCTCTCTACCTATAGATATAGACTGAGAAGAAAATAGGAGAAAAAAACATTATAGCAACTTAACCTTAGGAGGCACGTGAGGGTTCTCCAGCCGAAATTCATGCATGATCCACCCTGTTTTTATTCCATTAGGGGCCCTATTCTTGTAGAAAACTAAAGTCTTTCTCATCCCTACCGTCACCCGGCTCCTCGAGTCGAGCACTACTCGATCCTTTCCCGTCGCCTTCCAGTAGCCCGAGGTGGTGGCCCGGTTGGTACGATACCCCGTTGCGTATTTGCGATCTCTAAAGCTAAAGAAGTACCACTCATTCGAATTCAACTTTGCAACCTCTACAAAATAATGGACATATATTAGAGTCTTGTACTATACTAAAGACATGCTTCATGTGTATCTAACGTAAACACAATTGAAAAAACGCACATAGATATTATCCAAAGTGCATTAACTTACGAAATTTTATACACACGCTTATTTACGCGTTACGAGTATTTAATTATAATTGCTTGTGTGACAATATTTTCCTAAGGGACAAAAGTTGGTTATGTGTCACAAAGATTCTCAAGGCAAGTCTTAATTTGCTTTCACAAAGTTTTCTGGAAAGTCACATATATGAAAGAATGTGAAAGGTGCTTGAACCTTTTCAACTAATTGGATAGGGTAGGAAGTCTATATCTCTTCTTTATTTCCTCCCTACATGACTTAAAAAATTATAATGAAGGATATTAAATTTTTTAATATTTATTTTTAATTTTATGAATGCTTTATTGATTTCCCTTTCAAATAATTAAAAAAAAACTACTCCTAAGGAATGATCAAATATATTTTCTTTGATTTTTTTTATTTGCTAAGAGAAAGTCGTCAAGGTTCTCAAATTAAGCATTATCTTCTGCATATACATCTACAAAAGGAAGCAAAGTTCAATGAACCTATATGCTACACCTCCAGAATTTAAGAAATTTCTTTTCAGTAAAAGAAAAGGGCCTTTTCTGAATTCCTTTCAACTTTCAGGAACAACTACGGCTAAAAAGAAACGCGTATACTGAGGGGCTGTATGACGAAGCTTTTACAAATATTTTTATAGATTTTGGTAAAAGTCGATGAAATGTGGTTGAAAAGTTGATGAAAGTTGCGGGTCCCATGAAATATATACTAAAATTAAAATTTAACCGGTTGAAAAATTTATAAAATTTCAAATAAGCACTATGATATTACGAGTCAATCCGAAGATAAGTTTAACCTTGTAAAAACTAAAACAAATAGATTAAGAACTAAAATCAAAATAATGCCATATCCAAAATATATATTGTCATCTATCTCAATAAAATAAAAAAAATAATTATTTGTAGCTATATATAATTTTCATGCAGTTAAATATTCACATTATTGAGCCAATTAATCCAGGTAGCTTCATCGAATCTAACCAGTGACTACCTATGATCAGTGTGTATTTTGCCAGACTCGCTTTTTTATATTTTTCAGACAACAAAACAAAATAGAAATTAAGGAAAAAACGTAAGAGAATTTCACAACAAAATTCACAGAAAGTTACACTGAAATATCATCATGAAATGTTATCCAAAGAACAAGAAACAACCAAGAACCGCCCCAGGAAAGGTGGGGTAGACTGTGATCATTGAAGAAGAGAATGGAGGATTTACCAGGGAGCTGCCATGGCTCACATGTATGAAGATCAATCTCCACTAAAGTACCTTTAAGAACTTGTTCATTAGCAATCTTTTTGTAAAGATAATGAAGAACAAGTTCTTCATCGCTTGGATAAAACCTAAAACCTGGTGGCAGTGTCTCTCCAATGTCTCTTAATCCCATAATTAATATTCCGTTTAAGGATTCTGGCTGCAAATGAATATGTTGTCTGAAAAAGGCTCTACTCTCTCTCTCTGTCTCTCTGTCTCTGTCTCTCTCTCTCTAATTTGTTAAGTAAAAAAATAAAAATATAAGATGTGTATACAAGAGAATGTGTCGTGCATTTATATATAAAGTTAGGTTGACAAGTACCTTAGCCATCTCGATTTTTTTTTTTTACATTATTTAGGGAGTTTATAATTGTGTAGTTAGTTATATGGTCATGTATTGTGGGAACTTTCAAGAAAGACCAAAATCACAAGAAATCTTTTTGTGGGCAATTAAGAAGTAAATTCCAAATTCTTTGTTGGGATAGAACCTCCAAAATGCATCTTTTACCCATAAATCATTATAGAAAATTGCATTTTTGTGTACATTTTCTAACCTTTTGTCTAGGTTAAGAATGAGGCGAAAGTATTGGATAAGTACAAGACACTAGGAAACAAATGGACATGTAATTTATTGATCAAATTATATTATCCAATGACGTTGTCTTTTATGGTCTAGTCTCCTTGCTTGAAAATCATTTTTACATAAACTCATTTTCAATTTTACCCGCACCTCATTGCAGACACCTCATTGATACTCAAGATTTATTGATTTATTTATTTTGGGGTGGGGGGGGGGGGTGTAAATGAGGTACCAATCCTACCTTGTTATTATATATATATATATAGATTTTGGACAGAAATAATAGCAAAATATTGAGGATCAAAATGCTTTATTTTAATAAGGAGGGCTACCGTCTTCTGCTTGGTGCTTATACATTACCTTTTGATATCTATCATTTGCAAGTTAAAACAAAAACTATAATAATAATAAAAAAAATAATTAAAGAATTATTTTATATAAAAATGACATACATAGTTCTGCCTTTTAAGCATGCTATTGCTATATATGTTGTATGATTAGAGACACTGATGGAGATTTAAACTTGAACGAAAAAAAACAAATATCGACAGCCATTTGATGCAGAAATTCTAATCATGCAACGAGGCAGTCCATTCTGTCCAATTTCAACTGCACGAATAATTTGGATGAATACAAATTGTGGGCCATAAAATTGTTTCTCATCTGGGGTATACCAATAATCATTGGCACTGAATAATAAATATCGAGAATTTTTATTTTCCAATTTGAATATTTTAATTTTTTCAAAAACATTTTAAAGAAAACTGGTGCAACTTGGGAGGTATAATTCTTGACAAGAAATTGGAAATGTGGACAAAATTATACTTGTCATAAAATGTACCATACAACGACAATAATTAGGTAGTGACATTATGAATGGGTCCATTGTTGTGCATTCATTATATCCTTGGCTTAAAAGATTGAAATAATGCAAAAAAAAATGTCAATTATCTAAAGCGATTGTTCATAAATACGTGTCGAAAATATGTTTTAAACAATCATCACAATTAAGCAATATCATAAATACTCGTTATGTTTACATTGTATAAACACTCTAGTCACGAATACGAGTGATAATTTTTACGTGAACGATAGATCTAAATCTTAATTTCGATCGATGTGAATGTGAAAAGGTTGAGATTGAACCCCTATCATACTAATTCCATCGCAATGTGCGGCTAATTAATAGCAGAATTAATCATTACATAAGGATTCTGAAAATACCGAATCTCCATATTCACACAAGCAAATTGTTGATAAACTCGAGACGATCTAATATATATCATCACGCCGGTGTACCCGACCCCACGCCCCCCACTCACAATGGGGGGAGCCCACCCATTATTTTATTCACCTCGGGCCCCCCTCATTGTGAGGAGGGCGGTGGGGTCGTGTACCCGGGCATGTAAACGCCCGGGTACAAATGGCTTTGCCCAATGTATATTGCCAAATAGGCTTGTTACTTCTAATAAACTTGATGCACGATTCGTATTGTTTTGTGGCAAACTAGTTGTACACACTTGGTATACATCAAGTTTGACGTTTCAAGTATTGTCAAAATCAGTGATATTGATTGTTAAAGTATTTTGAAGATCAATATCTAAAAAATGTCACCTCACAATAATATAAAACTTACGATGTATCATATCTTACCACATACGATCAGTATCTAATTGGATCTATTATATCTTACCACATGCGATGAATACCGATGTTATGTAGTATCACTCCAAAATTGAATTGATCATGTTAATAATTAGTAAAAGATTAAATCCATAAAATTTTAAAACAAAAATGTCAAACATTGCGTGAGAACGTATGGACTAAGAAATTTTGAATCTCCTGTTGACTGACTCTATGCCCACAGAATATAATAAACTCCTTTGCGAATTGATGACTATAGTTTTCTAATTTTTTTTATTTCAATTAAAATTATTTATTTATTTTTTGTTTAAGCTGGTATTTTTAATTAATAGCACAATACTTACACTAATTAATTACTTTTAGAATCTTAAAAATCCTAATTATTTTTATATTTCTTTTTTACTTTTTTATTTTTTTAATTGGTTGTAAAGAAAAATAGAAATGGACCAACGAAAGTTATAACTCTGAAAAAGTGTCCATGTTCGTCACTTTCACACGTAAAATAACAGATTCGATTCAAGGTTGACATATGTGCCTAATTTTACAAAGATTGAGACCTAAAATTATTAAAAATAAATAAATAAATAATTATCTAAGTGTTACATTATTACATTATTGAACTTATAATCTAATAATGGATTAACATTAAAGGGTATAGACGTTGCATGGTAAGTAATATAGATATCTATTTTTTCCCTAAAATTATTTATTGTTCTTTTATCGATCTAACCGAGTTTAAGGATACAAGTATAGTAAAAAAACAAAAAAAAAATTATTATATATTTCAAGTATATTCGAAATGTACATAATAATTTTTTTTTATCTAATCGAGCTTAATATAGTAGAAAAAATTATTTTATATTTCAAGTATATTCGAGATAAAAATTATTTTATATAGTTCATTAATTTTTTTTTAATAAACTAAGAATAATGATTTGGTATAGATTCTTTAAAACTCATTTAAAAATAAATAAATAAATAATTTTCAACCACTCATTCTCACAATAAAATAATTTTGTGTATATTTTTTCCTACTTTTTAATTACATATTCTAAAAAATTATTATTTTTCACAAAATTTATTTGTAAAAGATTTGTATCAGACGGGCCTTAAAGTTTCCACGACAAACCTTCGATGTGATTTATATATGCCACGTCATTCATATTACACGTCAGAATCACCTGACATGATAATTATTGTTTGAAAAATGAAAAAGAGTCCCAATTTCTAATCTAAAGAAGAAAGATACAATTATGAATTATTGTTGAAAATTTTAGGGTTAGGGTTTAATTCCCTGTTTGCACCGTGTGAAGTTGGTGAAAGAGTGACGGCTTTATATTCTTATCCAATAATTTCTTTTAAATATCTATTTCGATTATTCACTTCCATAAGTTATGGGCTTAAATTGGGAAAATGGGACCTTTCGTCACATGTCGTTTTCATAATTATTTATATCGTTTTGGCTCACTCTTGAATTGATGAAACCCATGAATAATTTGTGAAACATTAGCAGTAGGTTGTGGATTGTGTGCTTGTAACGTTAACGGAAAAACAGAGCGAAAATTATTCAATACGTTGAAAATAATTTTGTATTGATTAAACAATATTTAGTGTCGAATGTGACCTCGAATATGTTCTCCTTCATTTCGATTTTGCCAAACTTGAACCGCTAGAGTCATTTCAAGATCCAGTTTAACTAGCGATTTGAGTATATGAATTAAGAAAAATTAATCAATTTGCCTAAGATCATAATCCAGTATAACTCTAGCGTAGATTGCACCGACAAATCAAATTTCACGGTTGTCAAACTTGAGAGAAAAAATAATAATCTTTGGACAAGAAAAGAAAATCCTAGGTGGTCCTACTTTGCCTAAATGCTGCCAGGTCACCAAAGGAATTCAAGGGGGGCCCATATTGACATGTGTGGTGGCCCACTTCATAAGTAATTATTTCTAAAGTGGAAATTTGTAGTGGGTCCCTAGCCTATTCATTCTGCCAAATGGGTCGCCAATATTTAAACACCCACAGCCGCCATCACCCACACGCATCCTTCACCATATGTAAATCAAGTAATGGTGATAATCATCTATCTAAGTGACAATGAATACCGTTATTCTTGAAACCCACCTTGCCCGCTCCCTAAATACGTGAGTTCTAGAAATCTTTGCATACTTATGATTTCAATTTATTTTTTCCAAGAGCCAAACTCGAGCCAGTATTCGAATGATCTAACTCGATCAAATCAAGATCGATCAAGTTGACTTTTACTAAGAGCAATTTGCCATACTGATGTAGCGAAAGATTATAGGAAAGACAAAAATCCACACAAAAAGAACTTCAACAAAGAAAAATTCAAGAAACATTTATTTCATTCAAAACTGGGTTGCCTCAAAGGGTTTACAACATTTAAATAGCGAAAAACATAAGAAAATTCGGAAAAATTACATAACAATGAGAAAATATTTTTTTTTTCAAAAATGAAAAAAATTTACAACGTTTAAATAGCGAAATTCTAAGAAAATTCGGAAAAAAATTACCTAATATTAAAAAATATTATTTTTTCCAAAAATGGAAAAAATTGAGATAATGACGGATTTTGATTCTCCTAATCACCAGAATTATTCCCCAATAAACGAAAATCAAATCCGAATTCATTTGATTAAGATATTGTCAAAATAAAAATTACCATAAACGGCAAAAACGCTTAATTGAAGATCTAAACGACGTAATCTGCCCAAAATTCGACGTGCTTCAAGGTCAATTGCCCTGAGCTGTGTTCATTGGCCCGTTTTCAATCGAATTAACTAGCAATTCATAAAAAATGGACAAACCCGAAATTAAATGAAATTATTATTTTGTCTTCATCACATACTCAACCACAATCAAATGAACAACTCGAGTTGAGTTGA